TTATATGTAACCTATATAATATCACTAATATTATAACTTATAACTCGAAAGTTTAGATGGATGTTCGCTAGAATTTGTATTCTACAATGCTGAACGTCTCTGAATGAAACTTGGCATAGATGTAGGATGTTCTGGAAGAACACAAGCTACTTTCTTTTGTTTTTTTATTCCACGCGGAATAGCGGGCAAAACATAGTGTGTAAATAAATGTTTGTGTTTGTCCCTTAAGCATAACCACTGAACTGTAGTGATACTTTGATATTTTTTGAGTACTTTAGGGATTTTTGACTTAAAAACCTTCAATCCAATTTGTTTGACCCATTTTTTTCATTAACAGTAGCCAACCATATTTAAAGGTTTTGGTTAAACCTCGAAATAAAACAAATATTTAATTATAGCTATTTACAGAAGTTTTTAGTACTATAAGGTTGTTTGTCACGATAAAGTCACATTTAAAGATAAAAAAAAACTCACAATAAGTAACTTTACAATCTATACTTAGTAATAAAAACCTTCCATTTGGTTTGACGTGTTTTAAGTCTAATAAAACTATTATCAATCTATACGTATAATAAAATTGGAGTGTCTATAATATCAAAAGAAAAAATCCAGATTTTGGGAAATGATGTAATTGCGTTGCTGATAAAAAAAATCGCAATTAACATTTTTTTGTCTGTCCGCAAGCAGCGTTTGTTCCGGGTAATGTCCGAGAAATGGCTGGGCCGTTTTCAACCGAACTTTCACTGAAGGGTAGCGGACATAGACGAGCATATTATAGACTACTTTTTTGTCTTCATAGTGCGTGAAAACAGTCGCGGGCAACAGCTAGTTGTAATTGAAATAAAACAACGGAGGTAAAAAAAAACTCTTTATTCAGAAATTGTAGCACAACTTAATAGTTTAATATTTCTACCAAACATTTCTCCATCTTTTAAAGTCTGAGGTAGCGGTTGATTGAGTGTTTCTGGCAGGAATAGTGGTATCACCCCAGCAACAATACTGAGCAAGCCCATTAAAATTAATGGAAGAGTACGACCGTATACTGCCTGCAAGGAAAAGATCAAGAAATCAATAAATTTTATTAACCATGGCTCTACGATCCACACGATGTTCAAGATGTTAGAAACAAAAATGGCGCTTATGCCATAGCGGATTAAATGGTACTTACCAAAAAAATGTAACTAAATTACACTGTTTTGTACTATACTCTCCAGAACAAAGTAAGGACACACCCGCCATCTTGACGTCAATATTTAATTATTTTTTTGAGCGAGGTAAGAAATAGTAAGTCATTGTCGATTCAAGATCCGTTAAAATGTTTACACCACATCAGGTCAAAATCAAATGTAACATTTAAAGTAAATGTAACTAAAAACAGAACCTTGCTGTCATAAATTCAAGACTAAATGGCGTTGTTCTCAAACTGTTTATTTATTACTTATTCTGATTATTCATTGTAGAATGGTGAATTTAATGTTATGAATCCATAAAATAGTTATAGCAGTTACTTACTAGATGTACAATATAAGGGCAGGCTAAAAGACCCAAACCAGTAATGAATGACGCCAAGCCAATAGCCTGGGCTCTCAACACAGTAGGTAGCAGTTCTCCAATCATAACATAGAATACTGCAAAAGCTGCTGCTACGAAGAGTCTTCCTGACAATGCTAAGGCAACGATTATCCATGGCATATCTAAAATAAGTAATAACCCATCATCTTGTTGTTTCTTTAAGTCCTGATCATTCATCCCTTCTTAATTAATAGTTCTCTAATTTCTTTTTCACAAATAACATACCTTCTGGAACTAGTGCACAACTTAAGCAAGCCAGTCCTCCGACAGACATAAATACACAAAGCACCCATCTTCGACCGAAACGCTCCATGCATTGCCAACCCAAAATATAAGAAGGAATCTCCACTACTCCACCTATAATTGCAACATATAATTACAATACTAACTGACATCGTTCGAATTATTAAAAACCCAAGTAGCTTATGTGTTATTTTAGACTTTGTTCTACATTTCAACCAATTGTGATCGAAATTCTTCTAGCAATTCATCCAAACTTTCGCATTTATATGGCACGATTATTTGAATTGGGCGTAAAATTCCCATATTGAGTATTGAAGATACTAACCAATAAAGAATGCCAAATGATCATTGACTCCTAAATTCGATGTGTTGTAACTTAAACTGTTGTAAATAACTCCTAATGATATCCAATCGAATGTTAAAAGCAGAAATTTCCTTCTTATATTTGGATATCTGAATATGTCAAGAAGAGATGCCTCGTAATTCTCGTTTGAGATATCTATAATTTTACTTTCTTCAGTTCTATTTGTGTTGAATATCTTTGTTATTTTTTGCATTGTAGTACTTGTTTTTGATTGTAACTCTAAAGTTTGCAATTCTTCTAAAAGATCTGTACTTTCTTCTAGGTCAACCTCTTTTGCGTCATTTAGTATTGTTTTGTTTATTTTTCTTATATCTTTGGATATTGTAACATCTGGCTTAAAGTTTAGCATATTGTTTATTCTACAAGTTAAATCTTTATTTTCAATCATTTCTGGCGTTTCAACTATGTTTTTATCAATAGCTATCATATTGGATCTTTCTTCTACGTTGTTTTTGTTCACAAGATTCTCCTGGAATTAAAAAACAACATCTTATAACAATTAGTTAAATGGTGACCAATGCTATTCATGTAGAAAATATCTCTTACGTGTATATTTATTAGAAATCCTTCAGATAAATAGATTCCATTTTTCTTCGCCAGCATTCTGAATATTTCTTCAGCTTCGGTAATGCGACCTTTACCGACAAGCCATCTCGGTGATTCTGGTATCAACCAGTAGTAACTGTTAACATTTAATTTTAGATCCAATAATTTATATATCAATAGTTAGGAAACAAATTTATAATCATCCAAGTATGTAGTAACATTGTAGCTTAAGGGAGAGTAGAATTCTTTTCAATTGAGAACGAATCTTGTACTCTTACCCAAAACATACAATGAAAGGAAGACTTGTTGCTAAGCTCAGGTGAAACCAATCTCTGACAGCGTAAGCGATAACAGCTAATAAACTGATTCCTCCAGCGAAGAGCATACCCACGACGATTCCTGGAAACAGTTTCTTAGTGAGGACAAACAGAACATTTATAGCAGATATCAATGGGTTAACTCTGAGGTAAAACAATGATTCTGATGAGGATGCAATACCTTATTAGTCCTTTGTAACCTATACATACCTACATTCGGTCTTCGAGAAGGTGGCATTAATTCTAAAGCCAATATAAAAGGCTGTTGATACAACGCAGGGAAAAAGAGGCCACCGACAATTCGTAGGACTATGTAAGTTGTGTACGAATTAGGGAACGCTGTTGCTATTGCCAGCGGCACTTCAAGATATATCATCAGTAAAATTGTCGGCCGCCTCCCGTATCTGAAAAGCATCAAATAAGTGTGTAAATTGTAATGTAAAAGACAAACAAACATGAGTGGAATGGAACTTAAGTAGGAATTCGTCAAAGGCTGCAAGTGGATGCGTTGCCTATCCTTAATCAGCAGAGAACGCATACAGGTAGATGTTTATATTTGAAAATTGTTTCAAATTCAATACCTGTCAGACATCCAACCGAAGAGAAGGTTTCCAAATATTGATCCAACCCAGAAAAGTGTGTAACTAAGTCGTGCTAGCCATTCTTTTTCACACACTAAGGAATACTGTAAAAAATATTTGAAAGCTGGTAAATATTCATAATGAAAGGGTAAATCGAACTCTGAAGCTACAATTAGAAGCTAAATACCATAGCTAAAAGTTCTATAAATGTTTACAACATGAAGTACGATCCAAACTAGTTAGGTCTCAAATTAATTGCATGAATTTTAACTAAGAAAGAATCAATGAAAATGTTTACTAACCTCTGTAACAAGTGTCCTCGGATATTCCTCAGTACTAAATCTCCATCCATTAGTGCATTTGGTTGTTTTGTTCCTTAGTAACTCTACAGTTTTTATAACTCTTTCTATCTGTAATGAAAATTCATTTCCAGTTAAGGGCGGAAATACGTACAATTAGCTGGCACATTTTGATGTCAGGTAGCCGTGTGTGGTACTATCACCAGGCATTCAAGTAACTTGCACAATATTTGATTGACATTTGACGAAATTTGACTCAGGCACGTCTCGTCTTATATAATCTTGTTGTAGCATGTACATTATGTATGTGCTAGTAGCTATTATGCCAGCGTTATTTCGTTTTATTGATATGTGTATTTCCTTAATTGTGAATTTACTGTTATATCTTGTCTTATCTTACTTGTTTCTCACGTTCGTCGATTCCAGTTGCAGGAACCAGATGTGTTTTTAACGTTTGAAGTACTCCGTCCTTACGAAGTATTTCTGTTCTGAAAATATCCATATTAATAAAATATTATATGTCTTCCAAAGATATTTTGAATTACTAAAACTATAGTGCTAATAATTGTCTATGAAAATCTACTATATACTATATCTATACTAATATTATAAAGAGGGTAAAATTTGATCGCTGGACCACGATCCCACCTGTAGTTTAATGGTAATGGAATTTGTGTATGTATCGGAATAAACACTACTGATTTAAAAAAAAAGCTTTCAATTTTAGAAAGCCACGTTACCGTCGCGTTACATAGGCTATTGTTTTTATTAATTTTACGCTGGAGAAGTCTCTAGCATTAACTAGTATTACATGTATATAGGAAACATTTGTTTACGTTGAATAGGTTTCAAAACTGCTAAATCGATTTTAAAAATTCCATCACTGTTAGAAAGCTACTCTATCACAGAGTAACATAGTCTACACAATAAACGGTACATCATCGGGAAATGTGACAGAAATTATATGTAACTAATTCCTTTTCTACCCAGACTCTGCTGGGGGATTTCCTACATCTGAACATTACATTTTTTACAAAGGGTTTAGACTCTTGGTGTTATTTATTCACGTTCCTACATCTCACCTTTCATCCACATAATCTTGTAACGCTGCCAACAGACCTTTTGAGTCTATTGTATAGCTGGTACATGATTCATAGACTCCATTGCGCTTAGGTACAGTTAGGTCTCGAAGTAATGTGTCAGGTAGTGATAGGTCTTCTAGTAGACGCGGAGGAGCACACCAATGTTCCGGTGTGGCGTTGGTAAATATCTGTGATATGAACATTTTGAAGATACTTTCTTATTCCAATTTCGATTGTAATTAAATACGTTGATTTCGACAACAATTCCGAATTCGAATTGTTGTCGAAATTAACTTATGTTTTTGTATTATATTATTCTATAAGAGCTGTCGCCCGCAAACTTCGTTAGCGCAAATTTGGACCACCCGTTTCGCCATTTAGTAGCGCGGAATTAAAAAAGTCAGCTACCCTTCAGAAAGTCCTGTCAAAATCGGCGCAGCCGTTTCGGAGATTACTCGAGATAAACGCGGCTTGCGGACAGACGATCATCGACTAGCGACACCCATAGAATCTACTCTTAATTTTTTATTTTCTTGAAAAAAAAATGCGTGAAATATCTTGCTGGCGAAACTTGCTGGCTTCTTCCTGGTTCACTTGTTTAGACTTTCCTTTACTTCTGTGTAAATTACTATTTATACCTATTTTATTTAAGTATCCTAAAAATGACGTATTATGAACATCCCCCTAAATTAAAGTCCTGATGAAGATTCTTCTCTTCTTTGAGTTCCATGGTTTAGATGCTGGTAATTTCTTTCTTCGCCATTAATTTCAGGAATGCCATGGTGTCTTAAAATATTATAAAGTATAGCAGTAGCTACTATGATATAGTATGTGGTAGTTAAATTTGGTGTTATCTTCTTTAAAAGACATGGAAAGATTCTTACCAACCAACACTATGCGTTGTTTAAAGTAGCTGCGGAGCTACTTTATCTGTGCGTTCATTTTATGGAACGCATAGTGCGCTGTGGCACTTAAGTGTTGTTTGTGAATTGATTTTACCAGCCCTGTGCGTTTGAGCACACTATGAGACCTCACAGTGTCGTTTGTGAATACGGGCGTAAGCCATTGCTATTCTATGAGATATCTCATTAAATCTACGATCATTGACAAATACGAGTATAGCACACGTCATTCACAATAAACACATGTCATCAACATTGTAGTCTTGTTCTACAAATGGAATACATTTAAATAACATTATGCAGTTGTTTTTATAACAAAACACTATGTACTCTAACATAAATATACCACTCGATATCCTATGCTTATTTATGATTTTTTTTTGTAATTTATGTATGGTTTTAAGATAAAATTGTTTTGTTGTGATTAAGTTAAGCAATTACATTGTTACTTTCGTGGCCGTGTTGTTACTTATATTCATGTTAATCAAACATCATTTGTATTTTTTTTTATAATATCAGGTGGCAAACGAGCAAGCGGCCAACTGAATCCATCGAAATGGAAAGCGACCGCTGCTTATAAACATCCGCAAAAGCATATGCGTTGCCTACCCTTAATTGTCGGAGGAGGAGACGCACATAAAGAGGTCATTTCCCCTTCCTATGCGTCTCCCCCACCGTCAAATCCACTTTTTCAACCCATCCTTTCCTCTTAAGAAAAGTGTGGAAAGGGAAAGGGACTAAAATTAGGCCTCCAATTAATCCTTGTATTAAAGTTGTTTAATAATTTTATTTTTAATTAGGGTTTCTTATCATGATATTAGAAGCTAAAACAACCCAATCGTGGTGAGAAACCTGTATACGAACATTATACTTGTAAAAAACGCGACAGTTTTAAATTATACAAATGTTTAATAATTGACATTTACTACGTTTCTATAAAATAGAGTAACAATAAGTATAGAAAACAAAACAAAATTAAGAACATACATACCTGAGAGAAGACTAAAAAAGAAGTTGGTAAAGCTGCTAATATACAAAGAAGATAAAAAAGGAAAATATGCCATGTTCCTTTGCTCGTTGCTAAAACAACTGCTTCATCCAATTCTTTGGTCCAAGATGTCATTTTGATTCCTACTACGTTTTTCTTTTTTAATTTGTTCAAAATTAAATGCTAACATTTCTGAGGAACTGATATTTTTATCACGAAATTGTCATCGGCTGAAAATTTAGTTTTATTCAAAACAATTCACTGGTTGAAAATAATAAGGCGTTTAAAAAAATGCATTTTATCGCCACTGCACTGATCAAAAATAATTTTACTTTTATTTAAAACAATTCACTGGCTGACAATAGTAAGGCGTTTAAAAAAGTACACTTTCCCATCACTGGTCGAAAAGAATCTTAGTTTAAAAAAAAACAATTTACTGGCTAAAAATAATAAGGCATTTAAAAAAGTAAACTTTGCCGCCTTGGCCGAAAAGAATTTTAGTTTTTTTAAAAAACAATTCACTGGCTGAAAATAATAAGGCGTTTAAAAAAGTACACTTTCCTGCCACTGGTTGAAAAATATATTACTTTTTAAAAAGAATTCACTGGCTGACTATAAAAAGACGTTAAAAATCACTTTCCCGCCACATTGAAGTCCGAAATAGTCCGATACGTTGCGAATGTGTTCGATGAACGTTTGTGTAGCGTCAATAGATTACTAGAATTGCTCCACCAACTAGCACTGTGACATTCAGACTGAATTAATGTATGCAAATTCCGCCATAACAACCTTTTACTACGCGCTAATACCTTGGAATAAGTAATTACAAAAGGTTAACAAACGATTTTAACCTAACCATAGAAAATTTGCATTGTGACCCTATAAATTATACTCGGTTTGTTTTTTTTTTATTTTAAGTAAAGCTACTATTTGTTTCAGTTTTAACAAAAGACTGTAACTGTTCAGTTAAAACCGTACATTATAACATAGTAATTTCACCGACACACGCACAGTAATTACTGTACAGTTCGACTCTTAAATTAAAATTGTCAGTTAAAATTGAGCGTCTATAGCAAGCATTATATTAATACTGGCCAGATATCTATCCTTTTTCTAGGTGTAATAAATACTTCAAGTCATAAATAACAAAGACATTTATGACCATTCGTTCCGTTGGCAATTGTCCCACTTTAGTAAGCGATGACCCTACGCTAGGATATCTTTAAGGTTACAGTCCAAAGTCATCATTAGTACATTGCAATACTACACTACAATGCTCGAATACAATATAAGTATCCTATCGTGTACACCTATCGTGAATATGTGTGTGATATTTACGAGAATTTTTTTTTATAATAAAAGGTGGCAAACGAGCAAGCGGCCACTAAAATCCGCCAAACTGGAGAAGCGACCGCTGCCCATAGACATTCGCAAAAGCGGAGGAGGAGACGCACATAAAGAGGATATTACCCATCCTGTGCGTCTCCTGCACCGTCAAATCCACGTTCCCACCCCACCCTTTTTCATATAAGAAAAGGATAAAAACATATTCGGAACGTTTCGAAAAAAAAATACCTAAGTGAACTCCAGTCTGTCCAATCCAGTACTTCTGACGTTAAAAGCGTTTACTTGTATAATATGATATATAAATGGTCAATCATTTAGATCCGACTACAATTGAAGATAATTTGACGTCGCTAATAGACGGAAGACGACGCGGAATTCCTGACGCAATTGCATTCGTACGAACTATACTATTTTATATACGAAAATCCTAACAACTTTTTAATTCTACAAATTTATGTATACCACTGAAAGTTGAGTTTAAAGAAAGAATGGTTACTTTTTAGTATTTGTCTTTTAAATTACTTTGTGGCTTAAAGACGCCTGTGTGATGCGTAGTGGCTGGTACACCACATATTTTTTTGTTTCTGGGGAGGGGGACTGTTACTTCTCTTAACTTACTAATCTTACTAATATTATAAATGCGAAAGTTTAGATGGATGGATGGATGGATGGATGTTTGTTAGCGTTTGTAGCCTAAACGGTTGAACGGATCTCCATGAAATTTGGCACAGATTTAGAGCATAGTCGGGAAGAACACATAGACTACTTTTTATCCCGGGAATAGTTACGGTTCCCGTGGGATTCATCAATTTAGTTTTTTTAATGTTTACTCGATCATTCTGCAACGGTTCAACATATCTTATTGAAATTTGGCACAGATACAAAACAAAGTCTGGAGTACACACGGGATAAGCTTCATCTCCGAGAAATATCCGGTTCCTGAGGGATACGTAGCTTTTTGTAATTTATTTAGTTTGTGTGTTTTCTAATACCACGCGTACGAAGTCGCGGGCAACAGCTCGTCTTACTATATTACTAATATCATAAATGCGAAACTTCGTATGCATGAATGTATGTTAGAGTTTGCAGCCTAAACTGATGAACGGATCTCGAAGTTAGGCATAGATGTAGAGCGTTGTCTTTGTTTTATTTCTTTTAAAACGGAATTCAATAAAAAACTTGTTTGTTAGTTGGTAATTATTCAGTTGATGACGTACAAGTTTGGATGTGAAACAAATATTAAATATCAATTTGAATAATTGCATCGCCAATTGAAATGCATTATAAAATTGTATTTATAGATTGTCATCTCTCTTTCCTCAAAGACAATAAAAGAGACAGCAATCGGAAGGTTTATTCAACTTAGTAGGAACTAGAAACTTCCTTCTAGAAAGTTCGTAATTTCTGTAAGTTATTTGTCAATATGTCTTGCAATATCCTAACGTTTTTTTAGCACTGATTTAAAACATATTCTGGAAGAACACATATGTGTACCTTACTGTGATTCTTGCTTATTATTTTCTTTTTTAGTTATGTAAACAATATTCAATTGCTCTTTCTAAGTACCCGAGTAAAGTCGGGTTGGGTTTCAGGTGTGAAATAAAAAGTTTTTTGAAATCATAGATTTAATGAAAACGGTCTGCTCAAAGATAAAATATTTTTATAAATATTTTATCTTGTATTTTACAGTGTATACTTTTTTAAAGCGTAAACACACTTCTTTGTTATGTAGAGTGTCAGCATTCACAACATATTTTTAATAATTATTTTTTAATAAAGAGTCCTACCCTTGACACGCTTTAACCGATCTGTTTTTATTCTATTCTATTTCTTGTTTATGGCTCTCCCACAGCGGATTGGGCCAGTGTCAAGTGTTTGTGGTTTTATTCTAATTTGGAAGAAACTGGCAACAAAACTCTGCTTATGGAGAGCGATCTGTTTTCAAGCTATGAAACTAAGCGAGTGAATTGGAAAAATTGTTCTGGGAAACAGGGTCCTATAGGTTGCCATGGTTACTTTAATGCTTAGTCAGTGGGTCTTTGAATTTTGTCATTTGCAATTGAAAATATTACGGTACTAGAAAATCAAGTTTTTATAATGTCATGCGAAAGAATCCGCAAAATAAAAACAACAACACGTCGTGAAAAAACCCTGTAACACATGAAACTACCTTTGACAATCTGAATAAAAAGACGAATCGAAATAAAACTCACTCGTCAAAATCGCTTAATTCGGCCACAGGTTGTTGAGCTATCAATATACATGAGAGTTACTTGGGTAATACAAACAAAAGCTTATTGTCATCCCATTCATTCTCTTTAAAAATGCAGAGACAACAATACACTAAAGAAACGCGAATTGCAGCAGAACCACAGTATACGTTGCGCAGATAGAAAGCCATTTGAGAGGAAGCGTGGCATCCACAGTCAAAATATTACTGGTCGCCATCTTCTCGCAGACGAGTTCACTTTCTTTTAGTAGACTTTCATACTTCGAATTAATATCTGTTAAGAAATATAAACATTATAAATGCATACTATTAAACTAATCGTCAGAAACATGTAATTTTTCGTAAAAAATCTAAATTTTGCTACATAGTTGGTACGTTGGGAAAATGCACAGATAAATTACCTTTGTAACGAAGAAAAATTCTTTAAAATGGGCCCAGTAGTTTTTGAGTTATACATAAAAAATACAAATCTTTCCTCTTTATAATATTAGTATAGGTATATATAACCTTATCCGGCTTAACCGGTGACGAAGAGTAAAAAATAAGGGTTGACTTTCATTGCACTAAAGTATTCTATCGCGATGAAAGAATTAAACATATCAGAGCACCTAACTAACTTTCGATTATTGGAGGAGTTGAGTCGCTTGTTAATTTTTTTTTTACTGTAAAACACTTATCGTTATGTATTTTACTTACCTGGATTGCCTTCGGTTGTCATATTAACAAAGATTGTAGCTTGAATGTTTTTTAACATTAGGTTTTGATATTCCGAGTTGTAACATGTTATTACAATTTGATATACAACTTTTATTGTCCAACAAATATATAAAACCCAAAACATGTTACCAGGTTCGCTATGGAACTATTTAAAATAAACTCATTATTTAATAATTGATTATTCATATAAAATAAGCGAATGGGTGCTGTATATTATTACTACTTACCATGATTATTAATTCCACGTATGTTAAAGTGTACATTGCCATATAAGTAATCCTATAAAACGTCTGGAATAAATTGAAATAAATCAATGTATAACGAGATTCAATAAAAAATAAACAATAATACAATACAAACAGATATTGTTTCAGAGCTTCAGATAGTATTACATCACTGGCCATAAACCTTACATGAGTTAACACCAATGGCCATAAACCTTACATCAGTTTATACCAATGGCCATAAACCTTACACTAGTTTATACCAATGGCCATAAAACTTACATCCGTTTATACCAATGGCCATAACCCTTACATCAGTTTATACTAATGGCCATAAACCTTACATCAGTTTATACCAATGGCCATAAACCTTACATCAGTTTATACCAATGGCCATAAACCTTACATCAGTTTATACCAATGGTCATAAACCTTACACCAGTTTATGACAATGGCTATAAATCTTTCATCAATTTACACTAATGGCCACTAATCTTACATCAGTTTATAGCACTGGCCATAAATCTTAAATCAGTTTACACCAATGGTCATAAGCATTACGAGTAAATCAGTTAACATCGTAGGCCGCACAACTTGTATTAGTGTACACCGCTAGCCTTGCATTAGTTTACGTCCTTGTTCATGCTTACCGGTATTTCAGAAATGTTTTTGTAGGTGCTCGTTGCTTTGGACATCTCTAGGAATGCTTTGAAAATCTTATCCAGTGATTGTTCTCTTAGTCGTCCACTATTAATCAGACTAACATCAAAATTCTTGACTGATTTTAATTTAGATTCGATTAAAATCGTATACTCGAGCAACAATTTATTTATACGAATAAAATATAACGAATTAAAATCGTCAATTCCCCCAATTACATAAGTTATAAAAATATAGGGAGTACCTCTTCCTGCATATGCTTGTATAATAAATAAAATAATGTAATAACAACACAAAATAGTGTAGAATATCCAATTGTAAAACGTAAAATTCTTGTAGTTTATTTTTGCTTTTCTTTGTAATCTTTGAATGGAAAGAATCAAATTGGCATGAGAGTCGCTGAAACCGTTGTTGGTACAATTATATATAATTCTTCCAATAATTGTAAAAACATAATTAATAATTCCTACAACTAACAAATCGGGGCTAAAGTTTCTTATTCCTTCATCCAAACAAACAATAAGAATATAGACAAAAATTATAGAAACAGTGCTTAAATAAGAATATAATGTAGCTTTACGGTTATTGGACGTGATAAAATTATCACGAATTGAATATTTCGATAAGGAAAGAAGATTTTCAAAAAAATTTAATGGATAAAGAAATTTTTGGAAATCACTATCAAGGTAGTTGTCTAAAATAAAATCAGTCGAAAAGAAATTTTGATATTTTGGTGGAAATAAAAGAACGTTCGATCCAGTGGCCATGACACATTACTTGTAACAGAGTCAACAATAGAAACACATTGAATTTTAAAAAGCCTCGAACTGATGCGACGAAATCAATAATGAGTATTGAATAGTTATCAAATTAATTACTTTAGCAAATTATTTTGTGTCTAAACCTTCATCAAATTAAAAAAAATAATTTCCTCTAGATTGCGGGTTATTTATACATCTATACTAATATAATAAAGTGTAAACACACACTATTTTGTGGCGTATGATGTCAGCAATCGCAGCATATTTTTGAATAATTCTTTCTTTAAAAAAGCACTACATTTATGACATGCTTTAGGCTAAATATTTTCACGCTATTAAACTCAAGGAGTGAATAAATTATAAAAAAAAACCTTTATGTGGAAAGGGACCATAAACTACAAGCTGCCAACATTAAGGAAGCAAAGCCATTATGGTAACAGGAAGTTTGACATTTTCAATTGAGAATTTCACCATTGTAAACAATAAAATAAAGTTTTTATAATTTCGAAATAAAACGAAATAAAGATTTTTTTCAACTCCATACTGACAAACACTATCTATATTAAAAAGTAATGTTGCAAGATAACTGTAATTAGTAGTAACGAAACATCTAAATTACTGTAATAACAGAGTATGAAATATTAATATGATTCATGTAATGTATTTAATATTGTGAGCATCGGTGGCTCAGTGGTTTAAGCACTTGACTTGTAATCTACAGGTCTTGGGTTCGGATCCCGCTGTACCAATGTGATTTTCGATTTTTAGAATTTTCATATGTACATAATTTACCCGACGTTCTTACGGTGAAGGAAAACATCGTGATATAACCTGCACATATTTGCGAAGAAATTCAAAGAAATGTGTGATGTGAACCAACCCGCAGTGGGCCAGCGTGGTTGACTATGGGCTAGTCACCCCATATTAGGGTAGGCTCCGAGCCCCTCGGTGGGGACGTATAGTGAGCTGGTGATGATGAAAGTATTTAATATTTAATATTAAACACGGCCAAGGTTAAGTAACTCGACTATTTAAAAACTGTAAGAAACAAACTGCAAATATGAAATACGATCACGCATTATTTCATTCCATTATGTACAGTCGGGGAATCTGTTGGTGTTGTACTTAAGGGTACAATCATTTTAACGTTTTGTACGGATCGACCACGTGGAATAACAATAACAGGCAGCTTTCATATGTGTGTACGAAAAGATGGATTACTCCCAATCGTCGCCCCGTTTTCAAGTTTCAACCGTCCCACTATCACCAATAAAGTGACAGATGAAACCGGTATGATATAAAATAAGTTTCAACCGTCTTCGTCGTAAAAGGTGCAACGAATGAAACTTTTTATTCTATCTCCACGTGGGGACAGAGCGGGGTGAAAAGATATCCACCGGGTCAAATAAATTTGTCGCGCTATAATGCTTTTATTGCACACATGGTTTTAATCAAATTTTGGACAATGTTACTGTTAGAAAATTGTTTTAAAACTGAGTAATATACACGTTATTTGTGCTCGAACTTGAACCGTCATAATTGCGTTTTATTTCATTTTTAATATTTCGTTCTTAAAATGACTGAATATCTCCTTAATAATTGTATTGAAGCCAGTTTCCAGAAGTTTCTATATCCTTTGAATTTGACACATTTTATTGTTTATTCACCGAAATATTATATCAGTGATAATTTTATAACTCCTAACAACAACAAAACAAAATGTATTTCGTTATGTTGTGCGTTATGTTATATTTTAATTTTTATTATTGCACTTTTTTTTCATTTTGATTTAAGATTTTATAAGGGTGTTCTGTTATTTTTATTTATAATTACTTATGTAATTGTGGCTGTTTCCTATATTATTAATTTCATAGTCAATTCAATTCAAAGCGACATAAATGTTGATTTCGTTGTAACAATACAAAAAATTAATTACTCGTTAAAATACGTTAAAATAGATTTCGAATCATTTGTCTTCGGCAACTGGATTTATTTTTCTGTTCTGTATTTTTCCTATATTTTTCTAATCGGAACACATTTGTACCAAAGTAACTTTAGCCTGATACTCTGTTTATATTATATAGCTCTTGTTATGACTGACGTTAATGTTATTTATTTGACTCGTGTAATTCAATTATTGACTCACGTCACACAAACCTGGATGTCTGAGGTGATATATGTAGATGAAATGACGAAGGGTACTGAAATGTTTAGAAAGGAATCGGTTCAGTTTAAATCAAATTGGAAGACACTGTTCAAAATTTACTTGGATATAACAAATGCTGCGAGTTTGTACGAAAAAATGGCTAAAATTCAAGTAAGTTTGACAAACTAGCAAGTGTTATCTTTATCTCGTATTTAATCTTCTTTTTTTTATGATAAAAGGAGGCAAACGAGCGGAGAGAACACCGTGGCGTGACGCTCACGGACATCCGCAACACCAGAGAAACTACTGACGCGTTGCCGGCCTTTATTTGTTCGTTTTTTACTTAAGGCACAATTACCGTAAATCGCGAATACACATGTTAGTAAAACGGTGTAGTCGCCGGCATGCCCGTTAATGCCAACGATACCTCACGCAAGCCAATATGTCAATGAGATGGTGTAAAATGTGACGTGGCATTAATCATATTGATACCGCCCTTGACTCCTCCATCACCTTATATGCTATGTGGTTGCTGTCATAAAACCATATAGGTATACTACCTACAACAACTATTCGACTTCAACCGTATAAAATTATGAAAATTTTATTTTGTTGTTTACATGTGTCAAATTATCAATTGCAAATGTCAAAATGACATGACATTATGACAAACCATGGCAACCTTACTTCCTTGATGTTGACAGCAACTTATGGTCTCTTTCCCACATTAGGCTGTTTATCCAAAATATTTACCCCCTAAGTTTAATGGCGTAAAAATATATAGCCTAAAGCGTGACATAAGTGTAGGGCTTTTTAATAAATAAAGAATTATTCAAAAATATACTGTAATTGCCGACATCTTAGGCAACAAAGAAGTGCGTGTTTACGCTTTATTATAATAGTATAGATATAGTATAGATTGTGAACTATAAAAATGTATTTAACGATCCTTTTTTATCTATTTTCAGATTGTCTTTTATATTACTACAGACCTTTTTAGCGTTTTAATACATGTTGAAGTTATATTAATGGTAAATATTTCATCTAAGTGTGTACCATAGAGAATGTTCCATCTCTGAAATTACTGTGGCTTTATATAATTTGATTTTTTTTTCTTTTGTCCGCGACTCAGTCGTAGCAATTAAAAAAAGTAAGTAACCTATGTATTCAGCCAGACTATGTTCTATATCTGTGCTAAATTTCATCGAGATCAAACAAACATCCAACCATCTAAACTTTGGCATTTAAAGTAGAACCTCGACAACTTAAACCTTGGTAACATAAAAACCTATATAACTTCAAAAAATAATGTGTTCCCTTCCCATCATAGCCCAAAACCTCTATAACATAGATCCTCGATAATTTAAAACCTCTATAACTTAAAATATTTTGTGTTTCCCTTGGACTTCAACTTATCTTGGTTCTACTGTATAATATTAGTTGGATTACTTGGATCGGATAGTACTAACTTTTACTTGATTTCAGTACCCCGATGATTTTTGGTCTAACATGATCCTCGGATTTATCTGGACTTTGAAATATTTCATTCTTATAGCTATAATTAGCTTTAAAACAGAAGAGTTTTTTACGACATTAAAAAATACTCAAGTTATATTTCTTTTGTCCAACGCGACAGAAGAATGTTCAGGTTAGTGTATAACTAACTCGGCTTATATTATCACCAGTAATACTTTTGTATTTTCTTTTATTATTTTTGTTTAATAAGTGTACCCTAACTAATATTAGTTGTAATTAACGTGATTCAACGTTTGTTATTAAAAAGTAAAACATCATTTTTTTGTGAGAGCTGTGTACGCCTGTCATCTGTATGTTCTGCTTCTTTGTTTTTCATTGTATACGGTATATTAATTTGGTGGTGAACCGTGAACATGCAATTGGTGTACCTTTCCAATAAATAAATAAATAAATAAATAAATAAACTATAAGATCGGGCGTACACCTTTGACGAAACTATCTCACAACTGCTTCGTCGCGCTTTGATTCCTATGAGCTTATATGGAGGTGCGCTACTCGATTTTTAGTTGTGCAGTTAACAGTTGAATTGGCGGCGAAACAATCGACAATCGCACAACTATGTGTGCCCGCTCTTAGTACAATTTTAAGGGCTACTATACACGGTGTCAATTGCTAGTAATACACATGACAGCAGGTACTTACTCGTGCCATCTATAGAAATATGTGTGTGATAATTTATCTGTACCTGGCATACTAATTGGCACAACATTCGATTTTATGACAATTACGTGCTTATAAGTTGAGGAAGGGGACGATGTTGGAGAAACTTGACACTAGAGGGCGCTAGTCACAGAATAAAACCCGTTATAGACGCTCATTTGACTCCATTCTGCAAAATATTGGCAAAAATATTATCGCTGTTGAAGTGTTCATTAAAAGTTTTACGTGTAAACGCAGAGCTCCACTGAACGTGTATAGCTGACTTAAAATGGTTGACATATGTTTTAGCTAAAATGTGTTTGAAATACTGCCTTCGTTTTTATTGTTAGGCTCATAATGTTTGTTACTTGTATGTTTTTAGGTAAACATGTGTTGTCCAAAAGTGTCCTGCGAGCGGGCAACGCCGTGTACGTCGCTAGAGAGAGTAGCGCATTTTCATTGGACGCAAGACTACCTCTAAGCTTATTATCTTGTATTACTACCTACGTTGTAGTTCTCTTACAATTTAAGCTAACATAAGTTTCATGATGTACCTTTGAAGTTATTTTTAAGCTTATTTAATTGACTAGTAGTTCCCGTGCGGCATCATCCGCATAAAATTATAAAAACTATTTGGTTTACATTTGTCAAATTCTTAATGTCAAACTTATCGTATCTATTACCTTGTTTCCTTAATGTTGGCAGCTTGTACTTTATAGTCCTTCCAATTATTTACCCCCTAAATATAATAGTGTGAAAATGTTACGTGCGTCGTAAGTAGAGCGTTTTATTAAAGAAAGAGTTATTCCAAAATGTCCCGTGATTTGTGACATCTTACGTCACGAAGTAGTATTTACGCTTCATTATGTTAGTATAGATAATCAAGCGATTTCAATAGTGTGGTTCTAATCACATATACCTAACGCAGATTATTGTTGCTTATTTAAAATGAATTACTTTTTCAAATCAAGGTTTTAATTGTCTTATAACATTGACAACATAACAGTGAGTTTAATTTGTAAAAATAAATGTACAGATTTTTTTTTTATACAAGGCATCAAGTAAGAAACGGACCAGCCAATATTTTTCAATCTGACGCCCATTGAATGCAACATCAAAAGTATTGCAGATAATGCTGGCTTTTAAGGAGGTGCGTCGTTAAAAGGTCTTTAAGTTGTCATCCCTTTCATTCTGTTTACAAAAATAGAGACGACAATATTAGAGAAACGCGAATTGCAGCAGAACCACAGTGTATGTAGCGCAGACAGAGAGTAATGTGAGAGGCAACGATGCGTCCACTGTTAGTATTGTGCTGGTCGTCATCTTCTCATAAACGACTGCACAGTCATGTAGTAGACCCTCTAGGATTGCATCTGTTAAATAATGAATATCAATGGAATTTGTATACTTTAAGCTCGTACACGAGGCGATTTGAATTTACGAAGCCTGCAGATTTCATTCTTTAATTTATTTTTTGCAGTAATTCAAAAACTATTAAGCCGATTTGAAAAATTCTCATATCTGTAAAAAGCTACATTATCGCTGAGTAACAAAGGATATGTAATTTTTAATTTAAAGTGGACGAAATCCCGAGCACTAGTTAGTTATTAAAAATCCTTTAATGGCAAATAAACGACTAAAATTAGCAGCTGTGTTGACAAATAATTACTGTTCTCTGAAATAATTCTTAATTGTTCCAGACTTCGCTTTTACTAGCTTCTAAAGTCTCTTGACGGCAGATTAAGAGATGGCGCACACCTTTGACTAAACTATCACACAACTGTCGTGCGATAGTCGATTGTGACGCCACCAATTCAACTGTTTAGTTGCACGACTAAAAATCGAGTAGTGTGAACCTCCATATAAGCTCAAAAGCAAAGCGAGACTAAACATTTGTGCGATGGTTTAGTTTCAGGTGTGTGCTCTAAGTTGTATAATGAATACTCACTTGAATTGTCCCCCGTTATATTAACAAGGATTGTAGCTTGAATGCTTTTTATCATCAGATTTAAGCTCTCGGAATTATAACACATCATACCGACTTGACAGACAGATTTTATTAACCAACAAAGAAGTAATACCCAAAACATGTTATCCGGTATATTCTGGAACTAATTAAAATTACATTTGATTAATTGATTTTTTTTTATAACATAAGGTGGCAAACGAGCATGTGGCCACCTGAATCCGCCAAAATGGCGAAGCGACCGCGGCCCATAGACTTCCGCAATTCCAGATGCGTTGCCTACCGTTATCCGACGGTGGAGGAGATGCACACAAAGAGGATATTTCCCCTTCCTATGCATCTCCTCCATCGTCAAATCCACTTCCCCTTCCCATCCTCTCATAAGAAAAGGGTGGTAAAGAGAAAGGGACTTAAATTAGGCCGCCGGCACCACACTCATCAGACGAAACACGGAATTGCTTCCATTTCACGCCTGTCTTCTGTGTGGTCGTGTTATTACGCCGGGCGTGCCGGCCCTGCAGTGCTAAAATGTTAAAGCGGGCACTACCACTGTTAAACTGATTTTTCATAACAAATTATTTTATACCCATAAGTCTACATTTACTTACCAATATTATTAATTCCACATACGTCAACGTATATATTGCCATAAAAATCGTCCTATAAAACATCTTGAAAAGAAAAAAAAGAAATTAGTGGAATATGTTGTGAAATAAATTAATTCAATGATATTTAACATTTAATAAAGCATTTACAGTAATAGTTAAGTATTCAGTTTATGCTAACCTGCCTTATAGCAATTAACATCGCTGGCCATAAGCCTTATATCAGTTAACATCGCTGGCCATAAGCCTTATATCAGTTAACATTGCTGGCCATTAGCCTTATATTAGATAACATCGCTGGCCATAAGCCTTATATCAGTTAACATCGCCGACCATAAGCCTTATATCAGCTAAGATTGCTGGACATAACTATTATATCAGTTAACATTACTGGCCATTAGCCTTATATTAGTTAACATCGCTGGCCATAAGCCTTATATTAGTTAACATCGATGGCCATAAGCCTTATATTAGTTAACATCGATGGCCATAAGGGTTATATTAGTTAACATCGATGGCCATAAGCCTTATATTAGTTAACATCGCCGACCATAAGCCTCATATCAGCTAAGAATGCTGGTCATAAACCTTATATCAGTTAATATTACTGGCCATTAGCATAATATCAGTTAACATCGCTGGCCATGAGCCTTATCTCAATCATCATCGATGGCCAAAAGACGAGCATCATCTTACCTCTTTGGCAATACTTACCGGAATTTCAGATAGATGTTTATAAGTACTCAATGCATTAGATATCTCTAAGAATGCTTTGACCAATATATTCAATGATTCTTCTCTCATCCGGCCACTGTTTATTGAACTCACATCAAAATTCATCACGGTTTTTAATTTAGTTTGGAACAAAATAACATAGTCAAGTAACAATTTATTGATACGAATCAAATATAACGTATTTAAATCTTCGATTAACAGAATTATATAACTCAAAAATACTAAAATGGTACATCTCCCGGCATACGTTTGTATAATAAATAAGATAACGTAATAAAAACAAGTAACGGAAAACAATATCCAATTGTGAAAATTGAAACTCTTGTAGCTTAAGATCTGTGATCTTTGTAATCTTTGTATGGAAATAATCAGATTCACGTGAGAATCGCTGAAAGCATTGTTTGTACAATTATATAAAATCCTTCCGATTATTAAAAGTATATAATGAAGAATTCCAACGACCAAAAAATCGGGGGTGAAGTTTCTTACGCCTCTATCCAAACTAATTACAAGAATATAAACAAAAATAATCAATACAGTACTAAAATAAGAATAAAATTTAGCCCATCGGTTGTTTGATGTGATAAAATTATCACGAATTGAATACTTCGATAAGAATAGAATGTTTTCAAATAAATTGAACGGATAAAGAGACTTTTGTAAAACAGCGTCAATGTAATTGTCTAAGATAAGTGTTGTAGAAACACGATTTCGATAATATTTTGATGGAAACAAGAAAACATTTGATACAGAATTTCTAACACTCATATCGTAGTAACAACCGATATACGATTACTTTAAAAAATAAAAACCTTTGTCAAATGTGAAGAAATTAATTCCGAATAATAGTTTTCAATTTAATTAGGTACAATCGCGGAAATCATCGATGTTCTACTTTTAGAAAAACTAAATTTCACCAGTGACTCTGCGTGCGAAATAAAAAAATCGTATTTTAAATGTTCTTACAGCCTTTTCTTTTTTTTTATATAACATAAGGCGGCAAACGATAAGCGGCCACCTGAAGCCGCCAAAATGGCGAAGCGACCGCTGCCCATAGACATCCGCAATTGCAGATGCGTTGCCTACCCTTATCCGACGGAGGAGGTGACGTACATAAAGAGAATATTTCCCCTTCCTATGCATCTCCTACACCGTCAAAACCACTTCCTCTTCCCATCCTCTCCTTATTAGAAATGGATGGTAAAGAGTAAGGGACTTAAATTAGGCCTCCGCCACCACACTCATCAGACGAAACACGGAACTGCTTCCATTTCACACCTGTCTTGTGTGTGGTCGCGGTATTACTGGGGGCGTGCCGGCCCTGCAGTGCTAACATGTTAAAGCGGGCACTACCACTGTTAAATATGTTAAATTTTCTACATCTATGCCAAATGTCATGAAAATCCGTTTAGCCGTTTATAACATCTAAACTTTCGCATTTATAACATTAGTAGCAACGAGATAAATTCCGCCTCTTACAAATAACTAGGAAATTAATGAGTTGTACAAACGACGGGACAATAATAAAAAATAATTAGCCGTGTACTGATCGACCTTTTTCCTACAAATACGTTTAAATTTGTGTTCCCATTCATGCGTCTCGTATAAAACATTCAAACGGCGGCTTTTAGGGTGGAACACCGCCAAATTCCTCGATAGTACTTTAGTAAATTACTTTCTGCGTCTAAAACATTGTTCGAGTAATGAAAAAAATAATCCCTCTGTGAAAGGTGACAAAGAATAAATATATAAAAAAACTAAAAATAGGATAAAAACATCATAACAATATATTACTGGATATTCTGTTTATTATTTTAATTCACGTTGACGAAGTCACGGGCAAAACCTAGTTCATATTACTGAAAGTGTAATTAAAAGCAATAGAAGTATTAAAGTTTTGTAAACCAACAATTATGCTCACATTACAAAATTACTAATAACAATATTTTATAACTCGTCAGCAAATGCATTTGATATTAAAGGAAGTTCATTTTGTATTAACTGTACCGATTTTATGACTTAATAAATTTAAAATTCGAGATAGATAGATATCAAAGTATACATATTTAAAATAATAGACAAGGTTATACTCGCGACTTCGGCCAGCGAGCGACGTAGCTCTTTAATGGCGAAAGAATTTCTAAAATGGGCATTGTAATTTTGAGTTACTTAAATACATAAATATTAGATATATTAATAAAAATAATAGTAATCAGATAGCAGCAACCGATCAAGAGGTTCGGCCTTCCCGGGCACCCTAGAATCGGAATGCTAAACGCGTATTGAGTGACAGCCCAAGCCGAGGTCCCCTTTCGGGGGCCCTTGTGCCTAGTCACTCCATGGAGCGTCCACCGAAGCGATCTAAGAGCTCGGTAGCCTCCCAATCTGGTAATAATAACGAAGTAACGGACCGAGCCGAGGCTCCTGAGGGTGCCCTCGAGCCTAGTTAATCATAAAAGAGGTTTAGGCTAAGCGCCATCTGCGCTCGGCCACCTCAAGCCCGGTGAATCTGTAAATGCCTCTTCAAGGCAAACAGTGGCCATCCAGTCACAAAAAAAAATTAAACACATACATATGTAAATCTATCCTCTTTATAATATTAGTATAGAAGTACCTATAAAAAGTTTTAGCATTATAGACGCATTTATAAAAAAGAAACCCGCGACGCCTCTTAATACACATGTGGCGCCCAAAGATGCCCGGCGCCTTGGGCAGTCGCCAACAGTCTGTTAAGAATCTATAGCACACCTTTAACACAAAGGTTCGTTAATGAAATAGTAAAAGTTATGGAATGAAGTTATTCAATGCCTAAATTTTACATACTTTCTAATAGAAATAACAGCATTGTTCACCGGGCCATATAATTTCGTCGAACTATAATGCTATTAAGGCACACGAAAAAATTGAAATTAATTAAAATTTAGACAATGTTATCGCTTGGAAATTATGAAAATACTTCTGAGTTTCATGTACGTTAGTGCATGAGGTTGAACCACAAATTTTCTCAATATGGATGAATATCTTCTTAATAATCGTATTGAATACAGTTTCCAGAAGTTTCTATATCCTTTGAATTTTACATATTTTATTGTGTATTCACCGAAATATTGTATAAGTGACAATTATATAACTCCTAACAACAACAAAACAAGATGGCGTTCGTTTTGTTGTTCATTTTGTTACTTATCAATTTTTACTATCGTATTTTTTTATAATAGTAATTTGAGAGATTATGTTCATGTAGTTTTTTATTTCTTTTTAATAATCGATATAATAACCGCTTTATCTTTCATTGTTAATTTCATAGTGAATTCAATTCAAAGTGACATACACGTAGATTTTATTTTAACAATACAATGCATAAAAAAATCGTTCAAATTTGGTAAAATCGATTATCAAACATTTGTAATCGGAAATTGGATTTATATGTTTGTTCTTTATTTTTCTTATATCTTGTTAATTGGAACACATTTGTACCAAAACAATTTGTCAATATCTCTCTGTTTTTATTATATGACTCTTATGATTTCTGACGCTTACGTTGTATATTTGGTCCGTGTGATACAATTATTGAATTACGTTACGATTACTTGGATATCAGAGCTGAAATATCTAGACAAAATAATCACTAACGGACTCAGCACTGTTTCCTTGAAATTGAAACCATATAGGAAGACGTTGGTGAAAGCTTACTTGGATATAACGAAAGCAGCGTTTTTGTATGAAGAAATGACTAAATTTCAGGTAAGAATGTTCAAACTCACTATTGAATTCCAAAACAATAACCTCTATTCTGTACTAGCTTTCGAAAAAAAAGCATGTAGTTTATGAATTCTTCCAGACTATTCTCTACGTCTATGCCGAATTGCATTGAGATCCGTTCAGGCGTTTAGGGAAACTCAAACATCCATCTAAACTTTCGCATTAATAATATTAAGATGATGAAAACTATAAAAAAAACTTTTAACAGTCTTTTATATTTTTTCAGATGATCTTTTACATGATTTCAGCTCTTTTCAACGTTTTATTGCACGTTGAAGTTTTGTTATCGGTAAATATAAAATTCATGAAATACATATTTATTTTATTTTTTTATAAAAGAAGGGGCAAACAAGCGCTGGGAATACAGAGGTGGTCAACGACGCCCATAGACATCCGCAACACTAGAGGAACTACAGATGCGTTGCCAGCCTTTTAGGAAATTGTAGTCTCGCTTCTTGATGGACCCTAAGTCGTATTGGTTTGGAAATATCGCCGAGGACAGACTGTTCCACAACGCGGCTGTGCGGAGCAAAACGTTCCGCGAAAACCGCACGATTGTGTGAAAACCAACCCGCAGTTGACTTGGTTGACGGCCTAGTTACTGAATTACGGTATGCTCCGAGCCCCTCAGTGAGGAGACATATAAAGATGATAATCCGTCGATTTAGGGTAGGCAACGCATCCGCTATTGCGAATGTCTATGAGCAGCGGTCGCTTCGCCATTTTGGCGGATTCAGGTGGTCGCTTACCACCTCATGAGATTAAAAAAATATTTATTTTTTTAATCTTGCGCATAGTGCATATGTATAAATTGAAATAAACAGCTTAAAAAATATTTTTTTTTTATTTTACAGTATCCAGAAGATTTTTGGACTAACCTGATCGCCGGACTGTTGTGGACTTTGAAATATTTCTTCCTTATAGCTATAATTAGCTTTAAAACTGAAGAATTTTTTACAACATTGAAAAATACTCAAGTTGTTACTCTTATGCGGGATGCGAAATTCGATTGTACAGGTTAGTAAGATAATATATATAATATATATAAAATAAATATGCATAAAATTAAGACCCATCTGTGGTCCTTCTAGTCTTGTGGACATCTATGGTGGCCCTACAAGACAACTCGTCGATTGTTTTTTAACTAAGTTCAAAAAGGAAAAGGTTCTCAATTAGTTTGTATGTTTTTTTTTTAATTTTAATACTTTACGGGAATCAAATGAAACTTGATGAATTTGAGAACAATCAACAACAAAATGTGTGTTTTTTTTCTTTAATGGGAAATATAGTCCCATTAGCCTGATAGAGTACGCCGATTGCCTTAAAGGGGAATCCCATAGAAGCCTATGTTGAACTACTATTTAGTTTAAATTTACTTAACCCTTAAATGCATATTGTTGCCAAAAGTCTACGAACAAAATTATAGTTTTTATTGAAACCATGACTTTTTTTATTATTTTTACCTTAATCTGTGACTCAAAGCCTATACTGAAATATTGATTTTATAATTAAATAAAAAATCATACATTTAAGGGTTAAGCTTTTCTACATCTATGTTTTAAGGTAAACGAATGCTGTACAAAAATGTTCTACGTGCAGGCAACGCGGCATATATTGCGCGGGGAAGCGGCGCGTTTGGATTGAATGCAACATTACCGCTTAGCTTTCTGTCTTGTATAGCTACTTATGTGGTAGTACTTCTACAGCTTAAGTTTTAAAACATAAATTTTGCTATAAATTAGAATATATCTTTTTATTGCAGTATTTGGAATGTGTGCTAAGCGGTTTCCGTGGTGTAGCGGTTATCACATCTGCCTAACACGCAGAAGGCCCCCGGTTCGATCCCGGGCGGAAACATTACTTTTGCTTTTTTTGTATTTAATTATTTTGTTAAGCTTGAATAAAGATTGATGCGATTTACTTAAACTTGTTTTATTATATTTTTTTTAATAAATAAATTACTATGCGGCTAAATGAAATTGAAGCAAATCCCATTGAAATGGTTTTTATTAGATTTGCGGTGTAGTTTCCGACCGATATGTCGACACCTGACCGCTGCACAAATGTCAGATAATTTTTGTCAATACCAATGTTTTCTCACTAATCTTTTTGCTATTTTCTTCTTTGTTTTTCTACATTCCCCTTTTTTCGTATTTCCTTACTATTGACATCTAGCGGAATTACAACGAAACTAACTGTTCGAACATATGCTATTCACCACTAGATGGCGCAGTTGATTGAGGATCTGTAATTTTACGAGAATATTTATCTACAGTTTATTAAATACTAAAAAATATATTACATTTTTCAGAACAAAACTTGGTGAACATCAAGAATTAAAACGTTTTCAAATAAATTTCATCAAAAGGAAATCCAAAGATAGTTCTCCTACTCGCTTCTAGGTGGCGCTAGAAGTAAGAAAAACAAAACAACTCATTTGAATTAAACTATGTATTTATTTATTTTTTAATTAGGGTTTCTGGTACATCCAATTATGTTATTTATGCCATATTTTACAATTCATGCATACCCTTATCTTTTACATCAAATCAAATTTTTTATGACTCGTAAATAATTAGTAAAATTATCTTATCTCATTCAAAATTACTACAAGAATGAATAATTATTTTCAATACTTAGGAAAACGCTAATACGTCCATGGAACAAATTATTTAAGACTAAATTAAATAGCAAATTACTTAAAAATTAATGAACAAACATGCCATCAACTAAATTTAATAGAATAACCAAAACAATTGCATTTATACTACAAAATTGCATTCGTTTGTTTGTCTTTGATATATAAAAGATTTTCAAAGACCACGGGCTCATATATTAAGATGACGTCATCCATACAAGTGACATATCATGTACCAGGGGAGTATAAATGAAAGGTATTCAAATAACACAGACGTGCGGTCGACTGTAATCCATGGGAATAGAGAAGCGTCGAACTTCAGTAAAAACTGTTCGAACTGGGCCTCTGTAGGAGGCTTAACTGCCACACTCAGAGAGCTTACTAAAGGAAGAAATGATTCTGGTACTATGGAACTATTCCTTTATACTTTTTTTAATATTTTCGAATCAAAGTTAAAGTTTGAAGCTTCATTTGAAACAATTGTAAAACAAACAATAACAAGAAAAAAAAACTATTCGATTATTCAAACTATTTGATATTTATAACGTCTAGTTATTTATCATTAGACATATAAAGAAATAACGATTGTTAAGCTTATATTCACACGGTTATTAATGAGTTATGGTATTTATTAAAGACCACACACAATCATTATTAATTTCAAAGCGAACCGACAAACATGACATCTACAATATTGTTGTCTCTCTTTTGTTAAAGAAATTGAGAGGGATAAAAATAGGCATATTTTACGAATACATAATAAGGTGTAAAAGTAACGAGCGACCACATGAATTCGACGAAAAATCGAAGCGCAATTGCATATGCATTGCCAACCCTTAATCGCAGACGGAGGAGACACACATAAACATGATATTTCCCCTTCCTATGCATCTCCTCCACTGTCAATCCACTCTCCCTTCTAAAGAAACTAAAACTAAGTTTCTGCACGCACACTCATCAGACTGTACGGGGAATTGCTTCCACTTCATGCTTGTCTTCTATGTCGTCGTGTACACCGGGCGAGACGACCCATTGCAACAAAGATGTTAAAGGCTCTACCACTGTTATCGTATGTTATAATTATTAAACTATACGGTAATTTAAGTCAATTTTCTATTATAATAAGGAATATACAAGTAATAAGCCACAAAATACAATACGCGCAGTAATATTCCAGAGATAGAGAACCTTTTTGTGTTAACATAATATTTTTCTTAATAAACGTGGTAAATAATTTTGACTTTCGATTATGAGGTACATTTTATAACGTAGGTGTTCACTTTTTATATATTACCTATTTCATATTTTTTTTCTTAGTGGGTAATGAATTATGTGATTAACATAGTTTGCGACCCCTGGTAAACCAGGAACATTATTTAAATTATTACGGGATAAAATATTTTTTATAAGTAAGAAATTAGTATTTGACCACAATCCTGTCTGACTTTCTGCCCCGCACAGCCGCGTTGTGGAACGGTTTGTCCTCGGCGGTATTTCCAAATCAATACGACTTGGGGTCCTTCAAGAAGCGAGCCTATCATTTCCTCAAAAACCGGCAACGCATCTGTAGTTCCTCTGGTGATGCGGATGTCTACGGGCGTCGCTGACCACCTCGGTGTTCTCGCCGCTCGTTTGCCCCCCTTTCTTATAAAAAAAATTGTCAAATGATGAAAAACGCGTTAATGCGTTTAAAAAACTGTCCAAAGTTGTTAATGAAACATTTCGCTTAATGCTTTATCCTATAAAAAACTTGAATCAACAAAATAATGATATAATACATGAATATCGTCTGCACTGTCTATTATCTACGCACACAGACATCGCGTGTATGTGTGGCCCTATGTTGCAATCCCTAAAATAGGACGAGCCCAGCTAGTAATAGAAAAATACAGGGCCGCATTAACTGGTAAAGAAGAAAGTAAAAAAATGTTTAAATAATTTACTACTAAGTTGTTTAATCTTTACTAATATTATACAGAGAAAAGATATGTATTTTTGTATGTATTTGATTCACGTAAAAACTACTGGGCTTATTTCAAAAATTCTTTTTCCATTAAAAAGGTAATTAAGGCTTAATTCTGCAAGCTAAGTAACTCAAAAGACCGTGAATAATCCTGTCACCATGTCAATTTTACACTATTAATAAATAAAATAAAAATATTAACTACTAATGTTGATCGCGACTTCGCCCGCGTAATTTTAAAAATATGTCACACACTGTTAACGTAGTTTTTTAATAGTGAAAGAAGTTTTGAAATCGGCCAAGTAGTTTTTGAATTATTTCATTACTTACAAAAATTCACATCTTTCCTCTTTACTAGCTGTTGTTCGCGACTCCGCCGGCGTGAAAATAAATGATAAAAAATATAGCCTATGTTATTCAGATAAATTACATTTCTAATCGTAGTTTTTTTTTAAATTAGCCCAGTCGTATTTGAGTTATTCCAATACATATAAAAATACAAATCTTTCGTCTTTATTATATTACTATAGATTGTTAAAGTTTGGTAATAATTGATTTTTAAATTTACTTATATGTAAGTTACGTATAAATGTTATTTAATAATTAAAAAGTAAACCAAATGTTTGCTTAAAAACATCGCAGAAAAACAAAAACACTTTTATTGTTACATAATACGTAATTGGAGCGTAGTTGTATTCCGGCCCTGGTATCAAAACTTTAAAAAAAGATTGTTTGCATCTTTTTAGTTACAATTTTAGGTCACGGCGCTAGTGTGCGGAGGTACACGTTTGATAATATTAAAATAGATAACAAAATAATCCTGATTTTGCTATTATCTATTTGTGCGTAAGGTGACTTACTGTCTATGATAGTAGTCGGACAAAGTTAACTGACCCGGTGGGGATAAGTTAAATAAATTATTATAACCCACTAACCTGTTAATATGAAAAATTATCACAAGATCATTTTTGTATTAATCATCAATTTCACGCGGGCGAAGCCGCATGGCAACCCATCATCATCATCACCAGCTCACTATACGTCTCTACCGAGGGGCTTGGAGCCTACCCTAAAGTTAGGATGACTGGGCTATAGTCAACCACACTGGCCAAGTGCGGGTTGGTTGACTTAACACAAATCTTTGAATTTCTTCGCCGATATGTGCAGGCATCACGATTTTTTCCTTCACCGTATGAACGTCGGGTAAATTATGTACATATGAAAATTCGAAAAATCGAAAATCACATTATTACATGGCGGGATTCGAACCTAAGACCTGTATACGAGTCAAGTGCCTTAACCACTGAGCCACCGACGCTCCGCACCATGGCACCACGGCAATCATAAGCCATAAATTCCTATCTATTAAAAACAACTGCATCAAGTCCGTTAGTTGTAAATATCCAAGCATGTAAAGGGACACCTTTTCGTGCATAGATGGTTAATAGAGCTACCACTGTTGTGGCATAAAATTGCATAAAAAATAGCTGTTTCCATGCGGCATCAGCATTATATTATAAAAAAAACTATTCTTTACATTTGTCGAATTCTCATTTGCAAATGTCAAAATTACCGTTACCATAACAACCTTGCTTCCTTAATGTTGGCAGCTTGTAATTAATGGTCCCTTTCCCACATGAAGGTTTCTTTCCAATATATTTACCCCTAAGTTTTTTTTAAATACTAGCTGTTTGCGTGCGGATTTGTACGCATGAAATTATAAAAACTTTATTTTATTGTTTACATTTGTCAAATTATCAATAACAAATGACAAAATGACATGACATGACAACCCTTAGCAATCTTTTTTTCTTAATGTTGGCATCAACTTATGGTTTCTTTCCCACATTAGGGTTTTTATCCAGTATATTTACACCCTAAGTTTAATGGCGTGAAAATATGTAGCCTAAATTATTCAAAAACACGCAGTAATTGCTGACATTTTAGGCAACAAAGAAGTGTGTGTTTACGCTTTATTATAATAGTATAGATTATCCTAAAGCATGTAAGTGTAGGGTTTTTATTAATGAAAGAATTATTCAAAAATGCTGTGATTGCTGACACCCTACGCGAAGAGTAGTGTGTGTAAGTACTTTATTATATTAGTATAGTAGTCAGTGACTAATACTTC